GTTGGAGCTAAACTCTGCAGGACACCGGCCCGCCAGGACCGAGTTTGGACAGCCCTGATCTAGAAGGACAAAATCATTATTAATAATTCTGATATAACATTCCAGTTGAGAAATGCAATAAAATACGATGTTTTGTTTGTTATATTCGAATATTCCAGAGAATATTATTCAGTGAATTAACATTAACCAGTGAATTATTCTTAGCTCTGTAGCTATTAAACAGATTATAACCCTACTAAAACTGTAGTTTAAAATGAAGTTGATATGACTCCTGTCCTTTATTTTTTTTTCTCCATTTGAAAACATTAGACATTCTACATTTATTTTGCTTATTGTTAATATTAGTGTTGTTGCTGTTGATGCTTTTCATAAATAAAATGTTTTTTATTGTTGTAATATGAAGATTAAATTTAACATGAAAGACTGCAAATTTTCAACACTTTAAAAAAAAAAAGAGGAAAAACCAAAGTGAAGTATGTTCTTACTTCACTCAGTCATTTATTTACATTATAACAGTAAATAAATATCGGTTCTGCATATCGGTTATTGGGCACATACACATGCAAATAATTGGTATCAGTATCGGTTATAAAAAATCTATATCGGTCGATCACTAATGCCAACAGCTCAAAGGATGAGATTATTTCAAGGGTTTTTCTTTTAAAAAAGCCCAGTACTGAGAGGGAGTACAGGCCTGTACTGCAGGGAGGTAATGAATTCAATTTAGCTTTAACTAAAAACTGATGATTATAGTAATAAAAATTCCTGCAGTTGAAATGTATTTTTGCCGGTCAGATTTGGAGGCTTGAGATTAATAAACACATTCACAATTCACAATGTAAAACATATAAGGAGGGCTAAGGAAACATAACTACTACATGTAGAGAGTAATGTATAGTCAGTCGTCATCGCAAAATAAGGTCTAACATGAACTTATATCACCCTAAATGAGTTTAAAATATTTGGTACCTTTCTCTTGATACCCTACTCCATGGGTGTCCAATCCTGCTCCTGGAGGGCCACAGTCCTGCAGAGTTTAGCTCCAACTCCAATTAAACACACCTGCACCAGCTAATCAAGGTCTTACTAGGCATACTAGAAACCTCCTGGCAGGTGTGTTGAGGCAAGTTGGAGCTAAACTCTGCAGGACAGTGCCCCTCCAGCACTGAGTTTGGAAACCCCTGCCCTACTCTTTACCCTCTGTGCTTATTCTGTACCGTACATTTAGGATGTATTAATGCAACTCATGAACCACCTTGTTCAAACTTGGTATTCTGATTCTGATCGTTGCAGGTGGAGCATGAGTGTGTGGTCGGAGTCCTGCTGCGATGCGCGCTATTGGGTGTAGGATGAACCTGCCGGCAGTGCTGAATGGCCTGCTGGTGTCAGTGGTGGCAGCCTTGCTTTGGAAATACGTTCGGCTGATTGAACACACATCACAGTTGGAAGAGGAGCTACAGCTTACACGCCAATCACAGGAGTTATCACAGGTGCGTATTGACTACCACGGTGCCCTGTTAGCACTCCAAGAGCATGGCACCAGAATGGTCTGCACTGGCAAGATGCACACCGATCGCATCTGCCGCTTTGACTACCTTTGCTACTGCACGGAGGCTGAGGAGTTCGTATTCTTCCACAGTAATGCCTCTGTGATGCTGCCCAACCTTGGCCCTCGGCGTTTCCAGCCCGCCCTGCTGGACCTCTCGTCTGTAGAAGACCACAACACTCAATACTTTAACTTTCTCGAGCTCCCGGCAGCGGCTCTGAAGTTTATGCCGAAACCTGTGTTTGTGCCAGATGTCACTCTAATTCTGAACCGTTTTAACCCAGACAACCTCATGCACATTTTCCATGATGATCTTTTGCCCATATACTACACCATGCAGCAGTATTCAGACTTGGATGATGAGGCCAGGCTCGTCTTCATGGAGGGTTGGGGTGAAGGGGCTCACTTCGATCTCTACCGCTTGCTTAGCAGTAAGCAACCCCTTCTCAAGGAGCAGTTGAAGACCTTTGGCAAACTCATGTGTTTCACCAAGTCCTATGTTGGATTGTCAAAGATGACAACATGGTACCAATATGGCTTTGTGCAACCGCAAGGACCCAAAGCCAACATTCTGATTTCAGGTAACGAGATCCGCCAGTTTGCCTCATTTGTGATGGAGAGGCTTAACATCACGCGAGAGGAGGGTGATGACTACATTGTAGTTTTTAAGCGTACCACTAACAGGCTCATCCTGAATGAGGCGGAACTACTTCTGGCTTTAGCCCAGGAGTTTCAGATGAGGACTGTCACTGTGTCTTTGGAGGAGCAGTCGTTTGATAGCATTATCCAAATTATTAGTGGTGCGACTATGTTGGTCAGCATGCACGGAGCCCAGATGATCACCTCCATGTTCTTGCCCCGTGGTGCCGCTGTGGTTGAACTCTTCCCGTATGCTATAAACTCAGAGCAGTACACTCCCTACAAAACCTTGGCCTCCTTACCTGGCATGGACCTTCAGTATGTCGCATGGAGAAATACCATGGAAGAGAACACTGTTACATATCCTGATCGCCCCTGGGATCAGGGTGGCATCGTCCACCTTGAGAAGGAGGAACAAGAACGTATCCTTGCCAGCAAGGAGGTGTCAAGGCATCTTTGTTGTCGTAATCCAGAGTGGCTTTTCCGCATTTACCAGGACACTACTGTGGACATTGCCTCTTTTCTGGACATACTCAGAGAAACTCTAAAAAAGCCTAATCTGAAAAAGGCCAAGGTGGCTAGCACTATACATCCTGGTCGAGTCAGAGAGCCCAAGTGCCAGACGTCAGTACAGGCCACCAATGAAGCAAAGCTCTTAGTGTCATGGCAGATCCCTTGGAACCTGAAGTACCTGAAGGTTAAAGAGGTGAAATATGAGGTGTGGATCCAGGAGCAGGGAGAGAACACATATATGCCTTACATTCTGCCCCATCAGAACTACACCTTCTTGGAAAACATCAAACCCTTTACCACATATTTAGTGTGGGTGCGCTGTATCTTCAACAAGAACCTCTTGGGCCCATTTGCAGATGTTCTTATATGTAAAACTTGATTCTTTAATCAGGTTAGAAGTAACACTGTCACTGTCAGCTAGCAAATAATTAATTTGAAGATTAATTCTCAGGAGCTATCCTGAAAATTATAAGGTGTAACATGGCTGAATTGTTTTTGGACTCGGTTGTCACTCTTGTGACTTGATTGTTCTTCATGGTCCTTATGGGGTGTCATGAACTGACAGAGAACGAACGGCCTGACTGCAATGAAGTTTAGAAGAGAATGCAGTTTACAGAACTGCCAGTTCTTTTAGTTCCTACCATCATCCAAGCAAAGTTCTCAATGACTTTATTTATCAGAAAAGTAATGCATAATTTAAATTTGTATTTATAAGTCCAAGACACTGGTTTAGTCTGACACCTGCTTTGGTTAACTAAAATAATGCACAAATTTCTGTGGCTTAAGCAACATGATATGAATTGTATGTGACTTTGTGAGTGTGCCCTTTTCTTGCCCAAGGTTTTGCATTGTATTTTTCATTTACTTTAGTTATAAAGAGGGGGGGAGGGGGTTAGAAATTAGTATGAACTACCTGCAAGAAAGTAGAAGAAAAATAAAATCGAAAGTGAACTTTAAGATGAATATTAATTATACTATTTTAAAAATAGGCTGCTTTTGTGTGGGTTGACTATAGTTTTGCTGCTGCAGTGTTGATGTTCTTCTTTTTTTAACCTGCCTCAAAACCACTGATTATTATCTACCTGTTCAATGGGAAATGTTTAAATTTGTTTACCAGTGAGATCTATCAAATCGCATCACAGACAGAAGACTTAGATATTCAAGTCGGTAGTATTTTTGATGACTGGGGTGAAATAGTATAAGATAGTGTCCTGAAATTTGAAAGTCTCTTTTTTTTTTTTAGTAATTACTTCTATGGTAAGTAAGTTGGAACCACTGTGTTAAGCATCCTAGTGTGTTTGGTGATAACAGCTTACTGGGCTAGTAGCACAAAGAAAATTGGTTCAAACATGGGAAAGGCCAGTTCATGAACTGTAGGATTTTTGAATAACTGGCTGAAAGCATTTGATAAATGTCCAGTAGAGGAGTAACAGTACGAACCTTTTAGGACTGCATAAGCCTTACAGAATGCAATATTAAAGATTTGAAGATAACTATTTATATGTGTAAAAAAAAAACACTGTTTAGATGTGCTTCCTATCCTGCCATTCAACAAATGAACTTAAAACAGTATCTGTATCTACTTTAGAGAAGGACCGTGCCAGTTTTTTTTTTTTTTTTAAGATGCTTTTGTGCATATCTTTTATATGTCTCATCTGCATTTCTGCAAAGACCAGCTGTGTTGTGCTGGCTTATGGTTTATTAAGAAGATGGAAACATGTACTTTATCTTAGCCAATTATTTATTTAAGACAACTCTGGAATGCTATACATACTGTAGCACAGATTTGTTAAAAGTTGCACTGTTTAAATTTTCTTTCACTGCTGATCAATGAATGGAACATGAGAAATTCAACAACCAACCACAAGCTTTGTTTCTGTTTTGCTCTGAATGGCCTGTCAAGTCATCTGTATTGTTTTTTCCCCCCCTCAGTGAGATTTTATTCTGTCCTTCGCTTTGAGGACATGCTGCATCACATGGAAGTGGATTTAAATGATGCTAAAAACAGATTAAACCAAGAACATTTCTAATTGAAATTCGCAAACGGCAAACCTAAGCCATGCAGTTTATTAGCATAACTCTGTGTTTCATTGGTAATTTTATTCAAGTATGAGGATAATAAATGAATTCTGTTTGTAATACAAAATAGCAGAAATGTCCTTTGCATATAATTAAAGAGAACCTTGCATGGAAATCTTTCCTCCACTCTGAGTTGAGAAGCAGATGTTCATGGTTAGAAACTTTTCTTGTTTCTCATTCTCTCATTTTAATAATTAGATAAGTTTTCAACATAGAAACAAATATATATATATATATATATATATATATATTGCAGGCTTGTGTCCTGTAAACCACTCTGTTCCCTGTGCCAGTTCATGAGATTTACCATTATGTGCCACTGGAATGTCATACATCATTTTTGTCACTTTTATTAAATGTACAATTTCTCAGATATTTTTGAGACGTCTTGTTTTATTTAAAAGTCTCTATCATTCATATTTAATGTTGACGAATTAACGTTTTATTGTTGTAGTTTGTCAATATCTTGAGATTTGTAAATATTTTCTAAACCTTGAAGATGTATTATTAGACAGAAATCCATAACAAATGGAATGGTAAATAACTTCACTCCAGCAGTCATGAATTGCATTTTGTTTTTTGAGAGAGAGAGAGAATGTGCAATCTTGGTGTCTTCAGACTTTAAACTTTAAAGGGGTCATATGACGTTGCTAAAAAAGAACATTATTTTGTGTATTTGGTGTAATGAAATGTGTTTATGTGGTTTAAGGTTAAAAAAACACATTTTCCACATACTGTACATTATTGTTTCTCCTCTATTCCCCTCCTTTCTGAAACACGTCGATTATTACAAAGCTCATTGGTCTGAAAATCGAGGTGTGCTCTGATTGGCCAGCTATCCAGCACAGTTTGATTGGCCGAATACCTCAAACGTGTGACGGAAATTTTACGCCCCTTACCATAATGTGATGCCCTGTCCCGGCGCGATGAGACAAAAACAATAAAAACCATTATAAACGAGGCATTTGTTGTATCCAGTGGGGACATAATTACTGATTATAATGACTTACGTTTCAGCAAAGGATAAATGGATATTGGATTTGCAGCACTAAAAATCACTTGCAGTAGCTCTGCTACTAAATTTATTTAAAAATGGCTATCCCTGTACAGCTATGATCAGCTGTTCCTTCATCTTGGCTGAGCTTTCAATGTTGTTATGGGAAAGGATGAAGCTGATTGGTTGGTTCTTGTCACATGACCCGCTTTGCGCTTGCGGCATTCTGAAAAGTTGAAATGTTTTTATCTCGATGTGGCGCGGACGTGCCTGGAAAAAATGAGCACGTCGCACCGCGTGCGCGTCGCTTCCATTATGAGCGCGCGTCTACATTTGAAATAACGAACTTGAGCACGCAAAAGATGCGATATGTGAACGGCCCCTTATACTGTCTTTTTACGTGTTGCGTTGCATCGCGCCATGTAAACATAAAACCATGTCTGCATTTGTGATCTGAGAAATGACAAACAACAAGTGCTACTCTACACTGCTCAAAACTCGCATTTGAATCGTCAGTGGCAAATTCTTTAAATATGAAAACATACTTACAGGCTGTGAGTCAGAACAGCCGGCATTGTAGGCTACTCTCACAGGTTCAGGAAACAGTCCTTCGTAAAATGCATTGCACACACACGAGTATTTGGTTTGAACTGTTCTGGAACAGTGTTGTAAATACAACTTAACCACTGATTTCTAGTCGTGTCC